CCAGACCCACGGCTCCTTCACCTTTCACTTTCTACTTTACTTTTCCACAGCCTCTCCACTGCTCCAACAATGCTCTTTGGCCCTGACTTGCACCATTCCCTACTGGCCTTACTCATAGAGTCCTCTGAATAATGCATGTCTCTCACACTGTTGATCAAGTTCTCTATGTTCATGTTCACCAGTGATTTTCATTATTAACAGCCAAAGTAAAATTAATTGAAATGGTGGGTAGAGGATATGAACAAATAACCCTGGGAGATCGGGACTAGGCCAACTAACCTCACTGCAATATCAACCAAAGCTTCCTATTTTAGGTTCCCTATAATGCTTTCAGCTATTTCTTTACTAGCCTCCCTGTCAAAGCCCTGCAGGCTGCACTGTTAGGAGAATATAGTCACATCTCATTCATTGAACACTGACCTGTGTAAGACAGACACGCTCATATATTATTTCCTTTGGGGGAATAGACAAATTATGGGCTAATCTGAATCGCTATTCCAGCTAACAGTCTTTGGGGTTTCCTTGTTCATCTTGAGGTTGAGTTAATGGAGTGCTAAGCTGAGATGACCTTTGATAGACGGGCAAAGGAACAGAACAGACTGGATCAGGTTGGTAAAAGGCACGAGGGTTTCTTATTTCCTTGTGCCACACTTAGAATCTCTCATGAATCCAACGCAGCAATTTCCCAGGGGTTTCGTATGTTCATTAGGAGGCATCTCACTTATTGGAAGACCTCAAATGTATCTTGTGCCCTCCCCACTCTGTACACACAAGCAATCACACTGTCGTTGCCCTGCTTATTAGAGCGATGGATGTTACAAAAAACTGAGCCAGATTGTAACATGGATTTGAAGAGACTTAATGGATGATAAAAAATGGGAAACAATCAGAAATCACTCCCAGAAGCCATTTTCTCCTCTCCCTTATCCTTCATAAGCAATCTTAGACACATATTATAAAAGCAGATACTCCCATTTGTGGTAATCTTCTATATAAGAAGAGTAGAGTTGGTTAGGAAATGGCTTTTATTCCCATGAAACATTTGAACAAAATTGAAAAAGTTTTCATTTTCATTTAAATCATCCTTAAAAGTGTTCAGATTTCTTAACTTAAAAAAATGCTGCCTAAACCAATCTCTTCCATTTTTAAAACTTATTTTCTGATACCATTTTCAGTTTTTGGTTGCCTAAATCTGAAATGTTTCTTGTTGTCAGTGTTTTGGCACACCCTCTCCTACCCAAAACTCATGCAAAAGGATATTTTTGAGGGATGGGACCTGTTCGCTATGGCCAAAAGGCCCTGCCAGCAGATGAGGTCATTGAGACTTGGAACTGGGAATCCCTGGACTGTTTGGCTCTGCCAGATATTTAGACACTTGCCCTTCTTTGCACTTGACTGATAAATTCCCCAGAGACAGGATGCCCACAGAATCTGACAGGGCTGCGGCATAGAGCTTGCTCCTTAGAAGAGACCTCCTGTGGGACTGCAGTAGAGTTTAAGAAGTGTCTCTTCCTTTCAGTTAATGATTTATACAGTTCAGGCCTTTCTATGACTTGAGATGCCTCTGCCTGATGCCAAGGAGGTCTACTGGGCTTCACACTCCAATCCCTCATATAAACCAGGCCCAGGAAACTCTGTCCAAAAAGATCTAAGCATTTATTTATATTCTCTAAAACATACTTGTTAAGGCATAAAACACTCCAGATTCTGGAATTTAAATAATAATAAAAAATACCCCAACAAGAAACCATTGATTTTAGCCCAGCGATGACTCCCCTGCCTGCTTGAGCAGGACCAGAGATGAATGCCAGAGGCTGCAGCACTTCCTAGTCTGAGCTCAAATAGCAGGGACTGTGGGTAGCCAGAGTTAAAAGATTTGTGCATAGGACAGGCTGGCCAGGCAACACTGACACCCACCCAACATTAGTGCCTCCCTTTAAGTTTCTACTTGTGAAGGCAGCTTAAATGGCTCTGCTTCTGTTTTTTGCCCTGAATAACTTTGTCTTAGATCTCCTAATTCAAATGGTTGGGAGCATACCCAGGTCTTTATACAACACACACACACAAAACTGTGTTAGAAGAATGCTATTAAAGCTGCTAAGTCAAGCACTCAAAAATTAAGGCAAGACTTATGGCTCCTTGTGTAACCTTCATTTGACTCATCATCACTGCAGACATGTTACAGTACAGGTGCCAATTAACTGATCCCACCCTGTTCTTCTCATAGGACCCATGCCTCATTCACTGCCGGGGGGGGGGGGGGTTCCCTTAGGTCTGGGACAGAAGTTCCATAAACTGGTTTGACCTAAATTAATTAAATCTAATACTACATCCAATCAGGTTTATCTTAAGCCAGTTTCAGCCATTTGAAAAGTGGTTTAAGTGCACTGAACTTCTGTTCTGTCACAGGCATAAACCAGTTTCCAGGGGAACAAATGGTACGCGGCCATGTAATAAAAGCTGGCATTCTAATGTGTCTGCACAAAGGGGCAAAATTAAGTGCTGAGTTAACCTTGAGTTTGGTAAATTTCTGAGTGCCTGACATTCAGTGTCCTCATTCCCAATCTCCAACTCGTTTCCAGATCCCAGTTCCCCTGGCTCCATGAAATAGCCTGTCCCTTTCCCATGCTGTTTGACTCCTCCAGTCCCACTCACCAAGCATGCCCCAGTCTACTCCCCTCCCTACCCACCAGTCCCATGTTTGTCCTCTCTGTCTTTTAATCTACTGGCTTCAACCTCCATGCTAAGTGCCAGAGGTGATCCTTCAGCACACAGGAGAGACAGATGCCATGTTCCTAGTTCCAGTGCCTAAAGCACCTGGGAGACTCCGGATCGGCTTTGACTTGGTGTCCCTGGGCCGGGGCACACTCAGTCACCCTGGGTCAAAACTGCATGTGCATTCTGAGAGACTCAAGCGTACAAAGAGAGAGTATCTTTGGACAATTTTAGCTGCTACAACCAAAGACATTTCTATTGAGTATGTGTAAATTGTGATTTTCACTGCAACAAGGACAAATCTGAGCAGGTTCTTCATGGCAATGGCAAAAGGCACACCCCTGACACGAAGGCCATCAAGTGTCAAGTGTCTGGTGCAAAGTAAGATGGTGACACCATTATTCAGAAGGTCACCAACCTCTGTAAAGGGAGCAAAGCAACTTTGTTTTCCCCATGCCTGATTCTCAGAAATGGCTAAACCATTCTGCTTGAAATCTATAATGAGAATTCAGTCCGAGGCAGATACTCAGCAAGCACATTTTAGGTCAGATGGTTAAAGCTGGATAAAATCATAGGCACTTGCAAACAGGATCTCAAAACAGAGGCATCAGGCAACCTTCAATTATAGGCAGCACTGCCAACCTTGTCTATAATAGGCATCAGGCCGCCATACTCAGGTGGTGTAAATAAATGTATTTCCAGTGAAGTGAATGGATTCACCCCTAATTTACACCAGCTGCAAAGGTGGCTCATGGTGCTTTTAGAGCCAGTGGAACATGCCCCACTGGCTGTCCCATAAACTGGAGCTGTATTTATCCATCACATGGACAACAATGGCAAGTTAAAATTCTACCTTCTCAGCTGCATTCAGGGGTTTCACTTTGATCCTTATGGATCATCTGTGGGGCTGAAAAGACAGGCCAGCCTCCAAGGTTCATTGGATTCTCTCATCGTTATCCATCCCCAGCTTCTCCTTTAACTTAATTTTTCCAATAGGTAACACACAGGGACACAGGCAGGCTCCATGTAACACCACAGGGCATTTTTCATTCATTTCCATTTACTTTTGGTTTCCCCAACTAAACATGCAACTTGGTGGCACCAGCTCACAGGAAATCTCAGCTTCAAAATGGTTGCCAGAAACCTTGGAACAGACTGGCTGGCCTGACAGCATTTAGGGGCAATGGGGAAGGCACCTTGAAATGTGCAGGGCCTCATGCACTGCTCATTGCTGCCAGTGGAAGAGGTACCACTGACCTTACTGGCACGGAGACCAGCCTGTAGGAGAGCTTGTGAAGTGGACAAAGCAGACAGTGGGGATGACTTGCCTGTAGAAAAAAAATGGAGTCGTTGCTTCTGACCGTTAAAAATATGGAAAACTCTCTCTACCTGTAGCTAGTCTCCTTCTCCAGGGAAAACACCCTATTACTTCCCATGCCCATCTCCCTTCTGCATTTCAAAAAAGTAGCACGTGCCTTGTCACTTTGTGTATTTGAGGGCTACACCCGACCTGCAGGTTTCCCTCCTAACTTTGACTTTAGGCAGGTACAACATCCAGTTTCACCTTCTTACTGACCCCTTTGATGATGGCAGATAGGGATGGAGGGATCTATGTAGTCTCCTCTACCCCACTCCCACCCCACCCCACCCCACCCCTGACAAAATCTGCTAGGCCAAACCCACCCCTGGCATAGCACCATTGTTCCTAATGAAGTTATTTCAGAAACAGATCTGTCCCCACATGCTTAAAGGAAGAAAATACAAATCAGAACTGCTGGCTGCTGTGCTACAACATTATGAGTAATAATGTGCCTCTGAAGCTGTGCCTCTGTCATGACCAGGGCTATGAGCATGAACAGTTTACTTTCCAGCTCATGCACTTCATCCTCCAAGGCCCTGCTGGGCCTGTCTCCATCTCTCCTTCTGTCTGAATCTGGATCCTTTGTCTCCACGGAGCTTTAAAGAACTTGTCCAGTCCACTCTTCATCTCCTCAGGTCTTGAGATTTGGGAAGGGGCCACCGAATCTCATCCCTAAAGGCACACTGGGTGCAGACAGTTCCATTATCCCCACACTCCCTTTGGCTGAGTGCAGGAGAGCTGTTGTGGTTGGAATTCAGGCCCCCAGAGGTGATGGAAAGGAAGGCCAATTGGAGAGGGAGAAAAAATGACTCTCAGGGTCTCTGTATTTAGGGTCTGCTGGAAGACATCTCATCCCTTCCACCCTTTTTTAAAAGCTGAATTTGGAATGTGGGGACAACCTGGAGCTTGGTCCATGATGATATGAGGGGGAAGAGCAGAGGCTTTGGCAAGCCGGGGGTTGTGAGCATGGAGGACCCTCCTGGGCAGGATGGATCTGAGGGCTGCAGTTCTCAGGGGTATCAGGAGAGCAGCAGCAGAACTGGTTCTTGAATTATTTATGCACTATGAAGGCCAAGACATTGACATCTGGTGCCAAAATAAGGCACTGGGGCTCCATTCAGGAAAGGTGCTGGGCACTCTAACCTGACTCAGCAAAAAGTTTGAACACATCCTTAAATATAAACACGAGTTAAAACACCTTGCAGGACAGAGCCTGGTTCCAGTCACTGCCTAGGCTCCCCCAGTAAGCCTGATTCCCCATTGCTCTACATCTGGTGCTGTCATTTACACAGTGCAAAACATGTGTGACCAGTCATGAATAAGAGTATGGGGCACCCATTCTGCACTAGTGCTGTTGAGCCTTCAAGAGAAGCAGGCCCACTGGACTTTGGGCTTCATAAGCCTGGAAGAGAAAAACTGGTGAGGCATGAAGAGTTATTTGACATCTATAGGAAAATGAGACCAACCTAGTAGCATAGCCAGGTCTATGAAGTACATGTGGGTGGAGAGGGGATGGGTTTATGGTGACCTGTTGTCTCTACGGGCAGAATATGTAGTGAGGGTTGACAGGGCTGGGATGTATTGTTCATAAGTTCCCGTGTTCCCTATCGTACACCCCCATGGGAGAGTCTGAAGGTATGCTGCCTGCTACCCTGTGGCACCAGGTGTTGTTTGTGCAGCTCCAATTCCTGTCAGGCAATTTCTTGTTCATTGTCTGAAAAAGAAATAAAAATTGGTGAAGAAATACAAAATTAACTGACCTGCCATGGGAGGCTGGGGAAGAGGAAGGAGACTATACAAAGAATGTGAGAGATCTTCCCAAGAGGAGCAAAGAGCACAGCCCTCTCTAGACGCAAGTTTGTCAAAGGGCCCAGCAGCCTGGGCGACCAGTGGAGGTCATACCACATGGACTGAATATTTCTTCACAAAATGATGGGAAAGTGGGTTTTCGGCTAAAAACATTAAAAACAAAATGCCAATTCTGAAATGCCACACAAGTGCCTCATAAGAGCTAAGGTTGGAGACGGTCACACTGCAGCTCTCCTCTTCCACCTGAGCCTCCAGATGGACTTAATCTTATTCTCCAGGATTTGTTCCCAGTCAACTGCTGGCAAACTTGTCAGTTCCGTGGTGGGGAACTGTGGGAAGACACTGGAAGACTATCCGTTCTCAGGTGACCTTGACCATGTACTCGCTGCAATTGGGACTGGATTTGTGACCCATGTCTCCACACTGTGCAAAATTTAAGTAAGCCTATCCTTGAGGCTATCCTTGAGGCCTATGTGTCTGGATGGTAGTGAAGGAGCCCATGCCAACCACAACCATGTAAATTAGTGGTTGGCATGGGCTCTCTAGTGGTTTTGAAACTCTTTAAACCTCTACAGGTTTTCCTAATTTAATAGCACCCCATTTCACTATCTACATATAATATGAATATTATAAACTTAACATTAATTAATGTGTTATTAATTAATCATGTTACTAAATTATAATATAGACTGTAGCATACATGGAAATCTGTCACTGCCTGTTCCCTACCAGGTACCAAATGGTAGAGAAGTCTATTTTATATCCCTGAGTTCATTCCCTGCAGAGCACTCAGTCACCGGTGGTGTGACACTACACACTTCCAGAGACACAAAACCAGAAGGAAATGAACCACAGGTCTCGATTCAGCTCTCAAACAGGCATAAATAAGGAGTAGTTCCAATGAAGCCAGTGGAGTGACACCTGGGCAAATGGGAGCAGGCCCAGAGCCAGGCTTTGCAAGTGGTCACAGGACTTGGGGCATATTCTGAGCAGACAGCAGCAACCCAGACAGGAAGCGGTGACGTAAACCTCAGTCCGACAATGCTGGCACAGATATGCTGACAGTCATGCAATTAACTGGCATGACTCATGGTGTAGGTTTGAAGGCCAAGCCTTCTCTGTGCTGCATGGGCCTTCATAACCCCATGTTGATTTTCCCCCTTGGAAGCATAAGTTACATGAAACTCAGGCTCCCACGCTGTCCCTGGCTCTGCCTGAGCTGCTGATGGGTGACTGGTGCATTATCAGCTGCCTTCCCAAGCAGCTGGAGTGCCAGCTCCATCATAGCTCCCGGCTGGCAGCTCGTCTAAAGAAGAAGAGCAGCCCTGCCTACCCAGCTGTGATACCAGTCTGTCTCAGAGCAATGCCAGCCTCGTTGATACCTGGCACCCCTCACTCTAGCCTGCCTTATGTTGCATTTGCTCGATGACTCTTTGCCTGGCTGACAGACAGCTGGGAGCAGCAGGTTACAAAAACACCTTTGGCACAAGGTGGCTGCTGCCCGGGGTCCTCTGCTAAAAGCCACCTGCCACCATGCACTCCCAGCTGTGACATCAAGGCCACTGAACACAGACTCTGCTTGGAGCACGGGGGCATGCCTTTCTCTTCTTGACTTTGATGTTAGCAGTGTTATATCTGGATTTTGTATTTATAGTGAATCTCACTCCTCTAGTCCCTTGGGCTCACAGAAGAATCCTCTAGCTACCTGCTTCTGCATGGCCTATGGGAGAGGGCAAAGGGAGGGCACCCCCAGAGGGGACATTCTCATGGAGTGGCACATTCCTGTGCCTAGCTGACGAAACCAGGACTCCTGTAAACAGTGTTTTGTGCAGGCCTGGAGTCCTGACAGGGTCTGAGGAGTGGAAGGTTGGCCACCATCCCCTCTCTCACTCAGAGCCACTCTTCTGGACTATAAGACAGAGGCCCTCTACAGCCAATGCTCACCAAGGAGCTCAAAGAACTTTACACACTGTTGAATTTAGGTCAAGACCTGTGCAGAAACTGATGCACAACCTGCTAAGGGCCTTGACCTCATTCACCCTGTGACTGAAGCAAGTCAGGAGCCCTGGCTGCCAGGCATGGAGCGTAATGACAAGGTCATACTTTCACCCCCAGGGTAACGCCAGAGGAGCTGATATTCTTAATGTAGCAGAGGCTTCCACAACTGCAAACCTCCCCAGTCTGACAGCTGAATCCTGAGTGCCAGGATCACACCCAGGACACAGGGCACTCATGACTGCAAGTACAAATATCAGGCTTCTGGTTGCAGTGCAAAGAGGGCCTGGTTTCCCTTTGCAAGCTTCATGCTGCCCTCCTTCTCACGGGACACCCAGCACTGGAGGGCACCAATACATCAGTGCAGACCCCAACTTCTGAGAACTAAAGCCACATATGCCTAAAGTGACTGGCAAGAAGAGTAAGAAGCGTCCCTCTCTGTGGTGCCCCAAGCGGGCTCTCCAGTTCACTAACACCAGAACTTAGAGATCGATGCCTTTGTGGTATATATAAGGATGCTTCCATCTATCTTCAGTTAAATGGGCAACCTTGATATCAGCCATATTCTCACTCCTCCTTTGGAGTGGCTTCTTCTTATAAACTACCACAACAGGGAGAAGGAGAAGCAGCAGCAGCAGCAGCAGCCAGATGGGGTAGAGTGGCTTAATGCTGTAGCCAGCATTTCCAAAGGTCCGTGCTTTGGTGGTATCACCTTGATGTCCCCATTAAACAAGCAGAGAGGTGGTTCAGGGTCAGTGCTAAGAAATCTCCCATCACTCCCCTTTTCCCAGAGGTTGATTCTGCCCATGAAGCACAGGCTGGACAGAGACAGAGCATGTGTGCATGTTTTCAAAGCTCCTTGCACAGAATTGAAGAAGGGGAAAAGAGAATAAAGCAGCAGGAGAATCCCATAAGAGGCCATTATTCAGGCTACATTTCTGCTGAAAAAGCAGTCAAAGAGCAAGCAAAGGGACTCCTCAAAGATAGAGGGTTAAGCAAACAATCTGCATAGGAGATGAAAAGTGAGGAGGCAATGAAGACAAGCACATGCAATCTGCTGAGGCTTGCAGGGAAAAGATAAGGCCAGAGAGAGGAGAAGAGAAAAAAAACCCAGGCAAGTTAGTCCTCTAGCTAAAGGTGTGAAGGAAAGTAAGAAAAGGCTTTTTATTAATCATTCAGGATGAAAAGAAGCACCAGAGAGAAAGCAGGGCCATTAATAACAAAGGAGGAGGAAAAATTAATGGTGACTCAACAATGGCTGACAGACCAAACCTCAGTTAAAACATCTGCTTTGAACAAGAAAGGAAACGTGTTTCAACCACTGAGAAGATCCCAGGAAGAAAATAAGTTGGCAAAGAGTAGGTGTGAGAATATACAAAAAAAATCTAACTCTGCAACCCAGCTGAGCAGGACCCTTCATTTTAAAGACATTGTCTAATTAATTCAGGATGAGGATTTTCAGAGCTATCAGCCAAAGTCAGGAACCCTGTTTCCTTTGATTTTTATTGAGAACTCCCCCCGGGCCGCCCTGTGGAAATCTCCTCCTCAGAGCACATGGGACACATTTGGTTTCATCATGGAGAACTTTCAAAGTAACAATCATTTGAACATATGTAGTTCTAATCTTCCCAAAAGGAAGGAAGAACAGTCTTGATAATGACTATTTCAAAGGCTAGGAATAGTGAAATAATAGAAGTTAATAGGAGGGGAAAAAAAGTCACTGAACAGCTAAAGCATAATGGATCCATCATCCAAGATGGCCCCATGCTTGGATGAGATAAGCTCATGACTGAAGAGCAACAGCCTGAAACAGATCCTGAGCAAAAAGGAGGCCATGTGGATGGGCAGAGGAAAATGCATGGATGAATTGACAGCCACAGTGCAGTCTCATTTGCTGGAAAATAATCTTGGGATCTTTACTGATGCTATGCCCTTGTATCATATCCTCGCCTAATGCTTCCTGGCACCTCTGGTTGGCTGGGCAATACCAGCCCACAATGGCAGACAGGGACCTGGCCTCAGCGAGTCATGCCTTCAACACCTCTCAGCTGAACTACAGCGAGGCAAGGTATTTTGTCATAAAGCCTTTGACACATAAGAAACTCCAACCCAGAGCACTGCAGCACATCTCAGCCCCACACATGCCTGCAAGCCCTTCAAACCTGCCTTCTACCTCTCTACAACAGCACTCTGCAAAATTTTTAATCATATTCAAGGGCTCTATTCTTATCTCTGAGGTGTTCCTTGGCTAGGGCCCAGGACATCGAAAGGATTGTCTACATCTCTCGAATGCAAAACACGGCTGCATGCTTCACAACAGACACAGTGGAATTCCCTTTAACACAGGCAACAACTCATCCGTGCAGGAGACAGAGCTTTCTTGAGGGCTGGACTGAGACTCTGGAATGAATTCCCCTAGGAACTGAAGACAATCACAAACCTCCCCATCTTCTGTACATTTAATACACTCCTAGCAGGTGCTCAGACACTACACTGATAAGTGTGGTGTATGTATATGGCAGAAAGGGGAGGGAAGGGAAGGGAAGCTGCACTGGATACTTGGAAAATATACATTTTAGCCAACCTGACTGTTCTCTCTAAGAGATTACAAAATCAATGGATGATGGAAATGCAATAGAGAGAAAAATAATGTGCTTGGATTTTAGTGATGATACTACTGAACTTAGCTAAAAGTCTTACTGGAAAATTGGATTGTCTTGGGATAAAATCACTGATGTGAATTGAAAAGTGGCTGAAAGTCCATGAACAAAGAAATGGAGCTAAGCAGAAATGGATCGATGCTAGGGGCAGTGTCAAGGCGTACGGAGCCCAGACCAGGGCTAGCTCTGGTTTAACTTAACATCTTCATAGCTTATCTGGCAGTGAAAGCCAATAGCCCGCTAATAAATTCACAGCAGGGTGACACAGAGCAGTGAGGCACTGCAAACACCATGGAGATAAAGGGACTGGGACTGGAAACACACTACAGAGTTTTGCCAGCATCACTAGGTTGGTTAAGTGTGTAAAAACATCAGTGCTCAACCAGTGTCGCTTTGACAGCCACGCACAGGTATGGCCACAAAAGAAGGCCTCTTTCAGTTTGGCTTATATTGTTGTGGAGGTGGCGTAGCTAAAAAATCCCTTCTGATGGTGAAAACAGACTCTCCACTTGGAGTGGAGGAAGGGAGGAGGCTGCAGACACAGCTGTCTCTGCATAGCTACATCAGTACAGGTTCCACAGCCTTGGAAAAGCCACTTGAAAGATCAGAAGGGCCAGAGTCCAACACCATATAGTACAGCGGGGTGGCCAGCCTGCAGCATGCACACCACCATGGGCACAGGCAACTTCTATGTGTGCAATGGATGAAACAGGAAGCATGGGGCAGGGAGCAGAAAGCAAAGCAACAGATCAGGCAGGGGAAGGGGATTGGACTGGTGCTTGGGGGGGTGTTCAGGGCTTCTGCCACACCTGCCAGAAAGGTTGGCCTCCCACTACACTAGCACAGCGCCTGGTAGCATTTTCAGGGTGTGGGACAGAATGATCCAGCTTGGGTCACAAGCAAGTGGGCAAGCAAACATCTGGACCCAGCCACTGCCACCGCAGCACCAGGAGAGCTCCAGCCACTGAAGTGCCACATTTGAGAGCTGGATTAAATGGCTGGATTTGGCCAACAGACTGTAGGCTGCTGGCCCCTGTACTAGAGCTTTCAATGGGAAGCTGTGTTGGTTCATCAGGTGTTCAGTTAGCTGTGTATGTTGCCAACTGGCAGCTCTCCCTCCAATGGACCCTGCAGGCAAATGCCAATGGCAAAAAGAAAATGCCCCTTACCTTCTTTGTTCTCTGCACTCTTCAAAGGCTGCAAAGCTGTTGGAAAGAAGAGGAAAGATACAGAATGGTGCTTAATTCGCTAATGAGGGCTCAATATGTGACAATTAGCAGTAGACTTAGCGTTAGGAAATAGACAAGACCTGACCATATCTCTGAACGGTAATACAATCCAGGATCCCTCTTTCCCTCCACCCACCCAGTTTAAATCAGTAACCCTAGCAGCTGCTCCTGACTGTTGTTACAGGAGTACTTGTTGTCTGCATATATGTAAATAGAGTTAACAGATAATATGCCAGTAGATCGCACTCATGTTTATGTAGCATGAGTTTTATACATTGCAAATGGCTCCCTGTGCAGCTGTTTCTATCAGCTCTTAACAAAAGCCAGCGTCCTGATCAGGCAGAGAAAGCCTGCTTCCTTTTACACAAACATTTTCCAGGCCCTCTTATGGAAACAGCTGCGGCAACATGAAAACGGTGGTCGCTGCATCTTCAGCTTCCAAATTCCAGCATTCACAGAATCCAAAAACTAACCGCTGAAATTTACAATAGAGATTCAAAAATCAATCTTGTGTTTATTTGGAGGTGGGGCCAAATGACTGATCTGGGGAGAAGGGGTGCACGGTTTATCTTCCAGCAAAATTTAATGAAGGGGAAAAAACATCTCTTTGACGATTCACAGCATTTATCAGCTTCCCACAACAACTGTGCTCGCCAGCTTCCACCACAAACCAAGCCTCACTCCTTACATCTTGCAGGCAGCAAAACCATCAAGGAGATGGGATCCCAGGCACGCTGACTCCCAATGAGAGATTAGGCACGAGCCAATCTGTACACAACAAGGCTATTGTTGTGCTCAGAGCAGATAAAGGGAATCACCAGGCATATAATTAACTCATTTGATTACAGCAGAGCGCTGCTATCGTTTTTTATTAAAAGATAACATGGCTTATCAGGGACCTGCCAGTCTGCTCGTGGGTTGGGGGGGTTCACTGACAAGGCAGCTGGGCTGCCTCAAAAAGCTGCGGAACAGGATCTGGGTACCCGCATAATAATGTATGTCAGCAAGTGCGTGCAACAGGGTGAGCAGGGCATGTTGTTGTAAATATGTGGCAGTGTGTACAAGGTCAGGCATCAGCATGGTATTGCATGCACGAAGTCCATTCATGCAACACTTCATACCACTATATCCATCTCTTTGTGCATCCATCTACCTGCAGTAGAACCATGGGCTCCTCACAACTGTTTATGAGGCATGTGGAAGTGTGTGAGTGTGCAACCTGATATACGCACATGGCTGTGCCCATGCAGCAGCATGCACGGAAGGTGCAGTGTGCATGGCTCTGCGTACCCATGTTTGGGCCTCAGTGGCTTTATGTACAATGCGCACAGTTCACTGCATATGTGAATATGCATATGCAACATGCACATGGACAAGGATAGGTAGACAAAATTGTGTACATGTGACCTGTATGCTCTAGTACGCACTCATGACAGCACATCCAAGAGGTGGCACATTGGCTTTATCTGCTGTCAGACAATCTCAAGGCCAGGAACTGCCTTTACTCTTAGCACTCTCATGAGTTTCATGTTGTTGAGCATTGTGGGATTGACAGCCTGGGAACCGTCTGCTTGTGTGTAGAGATGGGACCTTGGCAGGGCATGCTGCCAGAGCACAGCTCCCTGCAGACTGGACAGTCAGTCTCCCTGATCACAAAGCCCCAGGGAAACTAAGTCCCAACTGCCAGCTGGACTCAGCATGGGGTACAGTACACCAAGAACAGCCACTAATAGCACATGCAGCCAGGCAAACCACTCTGTGCCCCAGTTCAGCAAGTAGGGTAGTGCAGGGAGGATAAAACCAATCCACTGTCCTCTTGGGTTTCTTCTTTATCAACCCTGACCCTGACATTAAATCCAGGCTACTCCCCCCTGCACCAGGCACCTATTCAAAAAACAGTGCCTTTTTGAGACCTGACTTACCTGTCTTGGGTTCTTCTCCATCCTCGTCCTGATCCTCCATGCCTGGAAAGCAAAAGCCATGTGTATGTGAGAGAGAACTGCAGAGAAATCACTTGATGAATGGAAAAGGTTTAAGAGGCTCTGCCGACAGTCCGCAGTCCTAACCCACCACTGTGCTGCTATTCTGGTCCTGTCCCTCCCAGCAATTCCCATGCCCTTCACTTTTGGCCCAAAGCCCCTGCTAAGCCAGACTTCCTCTGCACCTCCTATTATGCCAATGCCCCTGAGTCCCAACCAGCAGTTCCACCACTATTCCAATTCTGTTCCATGCTCTCCCTACATGCACATGGCTCTGCTCATGCCCCACTGTCCCAGCCTGCCCTCCCACACAAATACAGCTTTGCATGAACATTTGTGTTCATCAGCCCCAGTAAGGAGGGGGGGGTGGGGCATGGAGGAGCCTTGAGATACTGAATGATGGCCTTTCTACACCTGCTCACTGGATCAAATAGATACAAGCAGGGCCTTGCCTGAAGTAATGACTTATTAGCAGCACATATGGAAAGAGGGGTGTGTAGAGGCAGTCACTGGATGCACTTAGTGGACCTCCCCCAGAGTAGGAGCCAAGGAAGGGGCTATGCCTGCCAATCCGACCCACCTTTGCTAGCTGTGTTGGTCTCTGCCAGGAACACGGCATGTCTGAGAAGTTGGAGTATGCCTAGAGATAGCCAGAGCCCCAGGCTGCCCCCTCCATTATCTCAATGCCAGAGCTGCTCCCAGTCCAAAGCTCCTGAGCTGTGAGGCATTGCAGCAAGCAGCCTAATGCTTTGGTGCCACAGCTGCCTCGCTAGTAATCCCAGAGCAGAGCCGGGCCCCAGTGACTGATGACTGAGATCTCCTCCCGTCAGAGGGGATGCAGATCAGCCTGAAGTGGCATGGACACCTGGCTCTCCCCCACCAGCTTCTTTATTTATAGCAAAGCTGCCATCTGGAGCTATGCTTGGAGAATGGCTGAACGAGGCTCAGTGTTCCCAGACTGGGAGCTTAGGAAGGGGACGGGTCTAGAGGCCTCCAACAAGCCTCAGGCTCCAGAATCGGTGGTGCCCACAGAGCCTTTGCTCTACAATACAAAATGGCCAAACAGGACTGCCTCTTCCACTTCTACCCTTGCAGGTAGCATGGGTGCAAGCAGTGCCATCAGACAACCCCTTCTAATACTTCTGCCAGCATTAACACTGATAACTCTGGATACTCTGCTAGTCATGGAAGTGCCCAATCCCCTTTGACAGCTTGCTGAATTCTTGGCATCAGTGACTTCCAGCCACAGTGAATTCTGCTGTCTAATTGCATACCCTGTGAAAAGGAAATATTTCCCCGAGTACGTGATATGTGTGCCCCTTTTCAATCTGGTGGAACAATGGAACACTTCCTTCTGTGTATGTTAGTTGCTATAGGTTCATATACCACTTAGCCTCTTGCAGAAACAGCTAGATTTGCTGCCCCCCCCCCATGGCTCTGGTTAGGCAGTAGGAAATGCCCTCTAACTACAAGGAGAGTTAAGTGCTGGAGTAGATTACCGTGGGAGCTTGTGGAACCTCTGTCACTGGAGGTTTCTAAGATAAGGTAATATAAGCATCCGTCTGGGATGTTTTAGCAATATTTGATCCTGCCTTGAGGCAGGGAAGTGCACTAGATGAACTCTCAAGGTCCCTTCCCACTCTATTTTCTATGTTTCTAGTTTATGGTGCCAAAAGTCTTGGGTTCATATTCTAAAGCAGCCTTGGCACCAGCGGTGAATATTAGCCCCAGTCTATGCTATGCAAGAGATCAGCCTAGAGGATCAAAACAGCTCCTCTGGCCTTAAAAACTATTAATAATTTGTTACTCTGGGTTTGGAAGACATGGGAAATACACGCCCCCAATCCACCTTCTCTAGATGATTCATTACAATATGCTTCCTTCACTGGCACAGCCTTGGAGAGGTAAGACATTGACAGAAAAGTCAGACATTTTTTCTGTCCCTCCTGAAGCACCAGAATCAATGGATTCCGTCTGCAACATCCTCCTTGCTGCCAGAAAGAGGAGGGCAAGAACTCAGTAAGCCTGGGTGGGGTTTTGCAGGGCCAGGCATTAGAAAAAGCCATCTTTTGCCTTGAGAAAATGAGCGGGCTGGACCTAAAGTCGGTAGGGGACGATGTACAGGGCATGCCAGCAAAGCTGTTTTTCCAGCAGCTTTGAGCACACCGCCTTTTTAAAGGTGCAAAGATCCCTTTTCCATGCAAATGCCCCTCTGTAAATAAAGAGCTGAGAAAAGGACAAGGATCCAGAAACTACAGAGCGGGGGGGAGAATGATTTTTCAAACAGGGCCTTTCAAAGTGCTTCCTGGGAGACATCGGCAGGGCTTTAATTAATTCTTTCAAAATTGAACACATGCAGGCAGGGATAAAGGAACAAGAGAGGCAGAGCGCAGAGCATCTGTGTCTCATGCTATTTCCTTGTGTCAATACGCTTGACATTTCCATGGTGGCAAGTGCTAGAGGCATCTTCTTAAATGAGAAGCTGTATGTATGCTTGTGTGCGTGTGAGACAGGCACAGACACAGAGAAAGCCTGCTTGTATGAGTGTGTGTATGTGTTTGCATTTGTGTGCGGCAGGGTGTACGAGTGTATGCGTCTGTAAGAGAGAGATTAAAATCTGAGTATGCCTCTGAGAGGGAAAGCAAGAGAAACAGTGTTTGCTTTTATGTATATAAAGAACTGAAGTGTGTGTGTGTGTGTGTGCGCGCGCGCGCGCGCACGCGTGCGCGCATGCACACATGCATGCCATCCCATGCGTGTTTGCAGCTGCCTACCTGTCACTTCAGAAGTTGCCTCTCTTCCACTGGGGGAGGATGCTGCTTCAGTGAAGAAAATGTCAGGCCAGATTGGGAGGCAGGTTCTGCACATCTGTCTCTTGGCTCACACCACCTTGCTGCTTCCAAAATGTCTGCCACACATCCCACACCAACAAACAACAATCAACCCTCCGGGGCAGTTCAGCTCCCCAAGGAGAAGCTGGCATAAGGGTCTCAGTAGGTGCGTCAATCACCAAATCAAAGGCATCAAAGGCTGCTGCTGCCAAACTAGGATATTACTCCCAAGGGTCCGAGAGGTCCAAGAGGGCAGGGTCCGAGAACACCAGACAACCTCATTTAACCCAAGGGATAGGGGCGCATCACAAATCTGGGAATAGGGTCTGGGGCAGATACCCAGTGCACACAGTACAACAACACAGCGTAAAAACCTTGGTTCACTGAGGCATCTCAGTCAAAGGGATTAATCTTGTGATCAATTTTTGGACACATCATTTTAGTGACAGCACTGCAAGCTTACATTCTGCTCCCACTAAAATAGCACAGCTACGAAACCAGCCACGTGAATCTGGAAACCTGCCTTTCACAGTCATTTTGCTTCACTTTCTGGCAGTAATAATGCCTTGCCCCTTCCTCCACGAATCTCACACTGCTGGGAAGAGTTCAGCACCGTGCCCAACAGCAACAATCCCTAACTCTTCCCTAATGTTTTTTACCAGTAAATCTCAAAACACTTCACAAAAGAAGTCACTATTACTGCCCTCTTTTACACATGAGAAAAGCTAGTACAGGGAGATAAAGGGGCTTGCCAGGGGTGAGTCTGGCAGTAGGACCCAAGTCTACTGTATGCAAGTCTTGTATTCTGTCTGCTAGGTTGCACCTTAGGCCGGTGCAGAGCCCACCCTTTCCAAGCTAAATAACCAGGCACAAATGTTTAAAGGCTCTCTTGCTGACTGGGTGGTTTTCCCTGGTCCCTTTCTCAGCAGGAAACAGGTGTGACTGGGTAAGAAGCCCAACCCGCAGCTATGCTTTCTGCCTTTATTCAGCTCTCTGCTGAATACGTGGCAGCAGATAGAAGAGCCAGGGAAGAAATTCCTAGACTAGCTTGGCAGTTTTCACTGACATTTAAATGTTTTCAGATTTTATGGACAAGCAATTTTCCCCCTAGCATTCTCCTCTTTTCCTTTCTTCCGACAGGCCATAAGTTAACCTACAACCCAGATATCACTGGGATGAGCAGTGAACGTCATCCGCGTATCAAGCCAATTCTCCTGCTCCACTCCTCTCCCATCCCATTACTGCCTTCTCCAAACACGCAGCTGGACCACCTTCCCATCCATGTGAAGTGGCCAATGCCTGGGTGCAGCTGAAAAGATTAGTTAGTAAACATGCTAATAAATGTGCTGGTTAGTATACAGTAATCTGTCACTGCCCTCTCCTGGCTGGGGACCTAAAGGAGAAAAAAGCCCAACTAACAGGACCAACAGGCAGATCAGAGTCTGGTGTTGCTCCTGTGGTAGACACAGGGAGGCGATGTGTTTCATCCCCATTGTGGTGGGCGCATATGTTTGCTGATGGCTGTGACGTTTGGATAGCTGCAGCTCCTCAGCGTTGCAGCTTCCCGGGGACATTCTAGCCACACTCATTTCACCCAGGCGTGATCCAGAATCACAGAAAATGAGGGTTGAAGGGACCTCAGGAGGTCACATCTAGTTCAACCCCTGCTCAAAGCAGGACCATCTCCAACTAGAACATCCCAGCCAAGGTTTTGTCTAGCAATTTGTGATGCTTGTTTGGAAAACAGAGGGGCACCCTGAGACTTCTCTACAGAGGGGCTCACCCTAAGATTTCTCTGCGCCTGCAGGTCATCTCCATGGCTACAAATGGACAGAGATTTCTGTTGATGCCAGGAAGCCTGAAATTAAACCATTCCACATTTGAGGTGAGCAAGCCACTGTGATCCATATCTCAAGCCTGAGTGGGCAGGGGAGCTAGACCAGATATGAACCCTGTTCTGACAAGATTCCTGGGTGTTTCTGTCCCTGCTATAGGCTATTTTAGGGCTATCCAACTGGTGGCCTATTGGCCACATGCAGTCTGTGAGAGGTTAAATGGCAGCTGCTGCACTCCCACCCAGCTGGCACAAAGTCTCTGGGCTCCCCCTCCCTCCTCTGGCTTCCCTTGTAGAGTGTGGCACAGCACAGCATGGGGTGCTCAGGGTGAACCTAGGGCTGCACAATATGGTGCTGTGATGAGAAGGGGTGTCTACATGTGGTCATTGCTTAGCGGTTGGACAGCCCTGGGCCATGCGAGTGGCTTAGAGTGGGGTGGGAGAGGCACATGTGTGGCCAACAGCAGTCTCTATAGCCAGGTATAACACAGGCCAGTGTGGCAGCAGCCTTCCCATGCAGCGCTCTGCCAATGCACGTCAATCCTGAGCAGAGGTGTCAGGGTTGAGATGTACCAGGATCGGGCCCAAGGGTTGGAGCAGTCAGTCATGCCAAACCTGGATCGCTTGGAAGCACTGTCAGGGGCCTCTGGGGTGAAATGCTCTCAGTCCCGCTCAGTCCCCCAGGAGATGCCCTGGGGTGGGCATTGAGCACACCTACCTACGCAAGAACTGGCTCTCACCACACCTTTCCATTGCTCACAGTCTCATTAAACAGGCCTCAAAATGTGCCCCACTCAGGACGCTGCCTGCCAGCCTCCTGGCTGCCCCCTACGGAGATAAGAGGCCTTCTGGAGCATTGCTGAAAACCAGGTATTAGTTATTAATGACACATGCACTCACACAGAGCAGTGGGACCTGTACTGCCCTCTCCACTGCACTACAGACCTGGGTGCCATGGAACAGGCGGCTCATAGTCTGGCATGGCGGAGACCAGGAGAATCCCACATTAGACCACCTTCACCCTGCTCCTTTTTAACACTTATCTTATAAATGCCCCTTGATCCAAAGCATAGAGGGGCTTCTCACCCTTCAGAACAGTCTTCAATCCATTTTAACCCATGTAAAAAACATATCACAGGCACCGGATATACACTCATTCCCCAGGCCCTGCCCCCACCAGAGTTAGGTCCCCGGAGGCAGGTTAATCTTCTGAGGCGACAAACCAGTTGTCATCCATATTTCAAGAGGTTTTCTCTGTCCAGTCAATAACTGTCTTGAATTATCAGCTTCTCTCAGGCCACAAGCCAGAAAAAACATGCATTACCTTCAGCAAAGAAGTCAGAGCATTGACTGAGATCCAGGGAGACAGGCTCCCATCACCTTGTGCAGAGAGGACAGCACCACAGGCATTATGGCTGCTACCTCTTAATACCCTCCTGCCCAAAGAATTCCCAAGTGCTTTAAAAGCTCTGGAACAAAAGGAAAGGGAACTTCTCACCACTTCCCTGAAAGGGAGGCCCCTGATTCCAGTGGGACGCAAACACATGCTTGAAGGCTTCCCTGAACAAAGATGCCTCTCTAAACTGAAGGCTGACTGCCTCCAAGAACTCCCCACCAGCACCACCAGCACCAGCGCCTCTTGGGCTGTTTACCTGCATTCTCTTCCTCTTCCTTACAGCTCTGGCGAATCTTCTTCCGGCACACATATGCCAAAGCACCCAGCAAACCAAGGAGGCAGATGGCAAGAGCGATGGTCACCCACAGGGCCACAGCAGGGAATGTGAGGTGTTGGCCTTGAGGAAAGAGAATAGAAAAACCACGGCTGTCAGTACTACCACCAGAAGACAGGGCAGGCACCTGGAGCAGCACCAGGACCCTACGTTCTCCATCCATGGTAGGGTCATGTCTGGTGGAACAGTGACACTAGATGCTTGCTGTCCTGAGCATCAGCTTCAAAAATGCCCAAGCTCAGCAAAATGCTTCATGGCATGCCTAACTGCGAGTATGACTGCAACACTGATTTCAATAGATCTGCTCTTAGGCTTTAAATTAGACACCTTCTTAAGAGCCCCACTGAGTCATGACCCAGGGTGATACATGTTGGAGATTTCTGGACCACATCTCTGTGGCTCTCAGTGGTCCACTGACCCATGTTCACTCAGGAGCTCTCACAGTCCCTCCTGATGTAGTGATCAACAGCTGTCCAGAAGGCTCAGATGACCCAATCCCAATCTGGATCCTCCTCTGATATCCAGAAGTCTGCTGGTGAACCTCACCAGAAAGGTCATCACCTTTCAGCACTTCCTGCTTCTTGGGAAGCTGTTTAAACCCCAATTAAACCTTAGGATCAGACTGATTCCACTTTTGAGTGAATAGATTTCCTGAGATAAAGATGGAGGTGTCCGATGTCCAGGGCTTGGTCCTGGGGCCTGCGCTGTTCAATTTCTTCATCAGCGATCTGGATGATGGGGTGGAAAGTAACCTGTTTAAATTTGCTGATGACACCAAAATTTGGGGGGAGGTGAGCACGCTAGCAGGGAGTGAGAGATTGCAGAGGGATCTGGATAGGTTACAGGGGTGGGCTAACAGGAACAGGATGCGTTTCAATACGGACAAGTGCAGGGTGCTGCACTTGGGCAGTAGGAACCAGCAGCACACTTACACAATGGGGAACTCCCTACTCGAGAGCACGGAGGCAGAAAGAGATCTTGGAGTCATTATTGACTCCAAGATGAACATGGGCCGACAATGCGAGGTCATGGTTGGCAGGGCTAACCGGACCTTGTCGTGCATCCACAGGTGCATCTCGAGTAGAGCCAAGGAGGTGATCCTCCCCCTCTACGCGACGCTGGTCAGGCCACAGCTGGAGTATTGTGTCCAGTTCTGTGCGCCCCATTTCAAGAGGGATGTGGACAACATGGAGAGGGTCCAGAGGAGGGCCACCCGCATGATCCGGGGACAACAGGGCAGACCCTACAGTGAGAGACTGCGGGACCTGAACCTATTCAGCCTCCACAAGAGAAGGCTGAGGGGGGACCTGGTGACCGTCTATAAACTCACTAGGGGGGACCAGAAGGGTTTGGGGGAGACGCTGTTTCCCCTAGCGCCCGCTGGCATAACAAGGAGTAATGGGCACAAGTTGATGGAGAGGAGGTATAGACTGGACATCCGCAAAAACTACTTCACAGTTAGGGCGGCTAGGAGCTGGAACCAACTTCCAAGGGAAGTGGTGCTGGCCCCTACCCTGGGGGTCTTTAAGAAGAGGCTGGATGCCTACCTGGCTGGACTCGTTTGAGTCCCATTTCTCTTTTTGGGGTTTTTTTGTTGTTCTCCCGCCCTGGCGGGGGGTCGGGCTAGAAGATCTACTAGGTCCCTTCCGACCCTAAATCTATGAAACTATGAAACTATGACCAAACCTTAACCTGCCCTACCATAACAGAGCAATGCAAGTCTTTGCCCAGAGCATGAAGAAAGAGGCAGTCAGATCTCCAGGTTTTAGAACAAGTCAAAGTGGTCTCCTCCTCCAGCTTCAAATGGCCGGTCACCTGGATTTCAAGCTCTGTCAGGTAAGCGTAATGACTGGCTAAAACACAAACCATGCAACACAGGTCTCGGATACACAAGTTACACGGAAAGGAGAAGGCTCCTGAATCTGTAACTGACTTGACCAACCAGCATCCCATGAATAAATCTGCTAGAGAGTGAATGAGTCCCTCTCAGATGTGTGCAGCAATAAAAAAGGATGCATAATGTATGAATTCTGACACTTAAAGAGCTGCTTGATAAAGGGGCAGTTACAACTGTGAGGTTTTAAAGTTCTCTCTATTACCTCCAAGTTTTGTGCAGCTCCCTGGGATGATTTGTACAAACAGCCTAATTTGCATGTCTGCAAATAATTTGCCTCTAATCATAAAATTCAGCTTAAAAAAAAAAGAAGCAACTGTGTAGGTTTAAAGCTGGTGAAAAAAGGGTCAGCAGCAGAGCTCTGGTGAATGGAGTTCTGTCTGATTATCAGCAAACATTGTCCTTCCTGTAAAAAGGAGGCATGATCCAGAGGTTAGGGCACTTGCCTAAGGTATGGTAATAGTACTTCCCCACTGCTATAAGGATAAATGCATTAAAGACTGTGAGGTGCTCAGACACGGTGCTAATGGGACCAGGTAGGTGCTAGACAGAGGTAAGAGTCACGGTCCCATCTGCTTCCTTCCACCCCTACACCCCTGACATTAGTAACCTGAACTGTTGCTAAAAATGGTTTAATTGCAAGTGCACAGTCCAGACTGAACCAGGCTCAGCTGCCTGCCCAGGGCTGGGCTCTGGTACAAATTTTGAAATGGTGCTGAATAGGATTTGGTCCTGCCTGAACTTGAAGCTTAACTGTTCTTAGCACTGCCTCAAGCCACAACCAGCAGAGAGTGGGTGGACCTCTCCCAGGCAGATGAGGCCTAAACTGTCCTAACTGGAAGCAAGATGGGAAGAGGGGGTGGAGGGCGTATATGAATTAGATAAAGTGTTTTTCCAAGCAACAGTTTCTAAGCAGAGTTCATGCTACTGGGTAACATGTTTAGATTTCTCTCTTTGGGGACTGTTAAATAATAGCTGTATTAATATATTCTAGTTATTTATATGTACTGTCCTACGAAACCTGTGTGTTTTATTACAATTTGCTGGAGGAAACCTGTTCTCTGGAATCTCTCAAATAATGAGCACCTTGGAAGACTTCCCCAAGGAAGCAGGTAGTTAAGCATTATCCTACAATAGTCTAGCCCCAACCCTGCCAATGGCCTAGTAAATGACCTTAGGTTTCACCTCTTTGTGCCTCAGTTTCTTCATACACAGAATGAGGATGATGGACCTTAACATCTTTGTAAAAGTGCTTTGTGCTGATCAGTGAAAAGTGCCCTGTAAGAACCCCGGGTACTTAAGCCTTACAACTATGGTGATGGGCCTTGAGATTTAGATTTGAGAGAGGCATGTTTAAAAACTTCTCCTCCAAAGGGCCCAGCTGCACTTGACAGCACCGGGCACTTGACAGCACCTGTGTAACGGCTTCGTGCTCTCCGGCCAATTGGAGTCTGGGAAACAACCACTGGGTGCTCTAATTGCTGCCTTCCACAGTGGGTCTGGATACGGCAAGAAAGGCAGGAAATCAGCAGGTTGAGTCACTCCATAAAACACTTCATTAACCTTTAAATAATTACACTAATAAATTCAAATCAGATGCTGATCTGTCACTCGTTAAGACTCCAAAGAGGAGACTTAGGTGCTGCTTCAACTTTCCTCTCATGCTTTTGCCTCAAATCTAACTCCATCAGAGATAGGAGTAGGCAGGGTCTCTTCCCCTCAGCAGGGGTCAGATACAGCCTGGCCTGCTCCTCATCCTTACCCTAAGGATCACCCTTGCCACTCAACACCATGGTAGGGATGGGGCATATGTTCCAGCAGCAGCACTAAAGGAGCTGGGTATGTTCATATGGATTAGGGCACAGAGACCTTCAGGAGGGAGAGAAAAAGCAGATTAAATTACTTTTACTGTACAGTAATGGCACAGGTACTATAGCTATTCTGCTGCCAGTGTGCTGTTCCCTCTAGGAGCTGTCCCCTACACACTCTAAAGAGCCTACTACAACGACTGCTAGATAACAGCAGGACTCTTAAAGCCCAGGTAGTAACATCCTAGGCATTTTGTACAAAAGGTTCAAACCCAGCTGATGTCCTGCAATGGGGAGAGGCACTACACAAATGGAAGCTTTTGAGCTGCTCCTGAATAATAACTGCGACTCCGTGTGTCTGCTTTAAATAACAGAAGACGCAGCCTGAGAGATGCAAGGCAAGTAAATTAATAATAAGATGCCTTTCTTCCCGCTTTTGTCTTTTCCTTTTATATCCTTGACGCCTGTAAGTGACTGTGATCAAAAGGGACTCGGATTTCCTCTCAGGAACAGGAGTGCAATAGCATCAGTGATTACACAAGCTGGGAAAAAAATGACAAAGCCCATCAATCTTCAGGCATCGGGACACCAGCCAATCGCCAGCTGGAATCAGGGAGGAGCTTCTTTGCCTTTAATCAGGTAGTTGCACACAAGAAGTGGCACTGGTCACTGCTGGAGACAAGAGAGTGGACTGCACTGGATACATCTGACCACAGGAAACCCTGCTGCTGCAGAGGATCTCAATTAACCAAGCTCCCCTCCCTGACACGTGCACATGCGCACACATGCACCTACTTTTTCCCAGGAAACAAAAGTGTAGCAAATGAGCCTTTTGTATTTAAATATTCATTTGTCCAGCAATTACTTCTATGGTGAAATGCAACTTGGCTTGGAGTGAGGAGAAAGAAAAATGTGTGCAATGCCTGAGCTGCTAGATAAAATACTCATCCAACATGCCTGTGATGCAGAGGGAGGACTGTGAGCTATGAAATGCTAGACAGTCCCAATTGACTGGTCCTGTTCTTAGCCTGCTCTGGAGTAAGAGTGCTGGATTCACCACAGGCACCATCACATCCCCTGAGCACATGACAAAGTGGCTGGTATACATGCCACTTTACAAGCTCCCGGCTGCCTGTCACAGCTGGCCAGAGCAGAGCTCGGGCTGCTCGCAGCAAGGGCTCCATGGCTGGCAGCAGCTGCCCCAGAGCCCAGGCCAGCTGTGGTGTGCTGAGCAGAAAGGCCCCACATGCCAGGCTCTGGCACACATGCCGGGGGTTGCCAATCCCTGCTCTGACACACTGCCCACTGCTCTTCATACCATTGGAAGACACTAGCTGAGCTCTTTCTCCAGGGCAATGAAT